ATTAATGAAGTTGACCGATTAATTAATAGTTGACGCACCAATCAATTAAGCTTTGCAGTTCTAAAGCGATGTGGGGGTCTTCCAGCCGTTTAAATCTGGGAGCCTGGCTGGTGATTGCAACATCCGTCATTAACCCTGCAGGTGAATCCGTTTCTGATCCTGCATTTATTATGGCTTGTATTGAGGCAGTCTTCCTTAATCAAGTAAGAGTGTCTTCTATTGAGAGTTTCTAAATCAAAGTAAGTGTCTTTTATTGAGCAGTTGCAGTTTCTATCAGTAGAGTGTCTGAACGCGTCTCACTGATCTCTGAGCTGCTGCCAAACGCACATTCATCCTGTTCGAAGGTCAAAAAAATCTGACTGTGTTTAAACTACAGCAGTTAGTCTGCTGAAACTACAGCTGGTCCTGAAGTCTGTCAGTGTATCGAATTGCCAAGGTGCCCTCGAGCAGCACAATGCTGCTCAGTGAGCGTCCCTGTGTTTCTGCGTTCATGCTCAAAACTCAACTCATCAGCTATTTGACGTAGTCTGACTGAATATTTGTATAGTCATTCTTCATTTAAAGCGAGCAGTCGTGTGTCTGCATGAAGGTCTTTCATTCATGTGTTTTACATTCTGTATGTGCTGTTTGGACCCTACAGTAGTAGGGATGGGAAAGAGTTTCAGGGTACCCACGGGCCCCGAAAAACCTGGACATTTAGAGACTTGTTTTCCAGTCATGCAAACACCTGAATATTTATTAAAATGACCACAAATTCTGATAATAATCTATGCTGTCCTGTAAATTAAGATAAATTCTACTTGATTTGAACCGTTACTTTTGGCCAAATGAACATTACAGTGAGTGGAAAACTGTAGTCAGTTCACCAGAGACCGCAACTTAAAACAGCCACAGTGACTGGGAACATGGATGCTGCGGCATTTTCAGGCATTTTTTTGCAATGACATTGCCTGAGAAGGTGAAAAATTGCCAAAGCAGCTTGTTCCTGTGAGAGTAAAATGTCTGGAGGGTAAATCTCAGTCCATCCAGGAAGCTGCAGTTTAACAGTTCTGTCCAGTCACTGCAACCTTTCTGCTAATTCTCTGATCCCAATAACAGATTAATAATGTTACTCTTTCTGTCCAGGGGACTACAGATAAAGAACAGCCCCTCAAATAAACTGATCCATAAAATGAAAAGCATTCATTCTCCAGTGTTCATACATAAAAAGTCTTTGAAAACCACAAATCTTTTTGTCCTCGAGAATGATCACTGTGATCTGTGACAGAGTATAAAAACATTTAATAACTCAGCTCTTGTTTCTGTTCCCAGAAAGTGAAGACGGCTCGTCATGTGATCGATCCGAACCCCGGCTTCCTGTCCCAGCTGCAGAGGTACGAACAGGAGCTGAAGAAGAGACGAGGAGAGACAGACTGACAGACAGGCAGGCAGACAGACAGACAGGCAGCTGGACGTCCGTCTGATTGTCCTCAACCACAGGTGAACGGCGTCCTCTCTGTCCACCTTCACACTCTGTAACTGAACTCCCGTCAGTTTCGATCTAAACTGTTATTATTATATTATAGTATTATATGTGATATTGAATATTCTAATATTTAAATGTCTTCATGGACTTTAACTCCAGGTTGAACAGGAAACCACGGCACACAGGAAGGTCTAAGGGCTTCATTTCACTTCTTTTAGTGTCCAAAATTAACCATTAAAGAATAGATAACTTTATTGATCCCCAAAGGGAAGTTTCAATGTTACAGCAGCCACTACAAATAAAAAAAACTACAAAGAGGTAACATGTTTGAGAGATCCATTAGTTAGAGTATACAACAAGCTGCCTGCATTGAATACAATGCCAGGCTATTAATGCTAACTTGTAATGTAGTACAATGTGGTAAATTGGCAAAAAATATTTCCTGAATATTATTAGTACAGCCACATAACAAAAAATAAATAAAAAATAAAAAGCAGATACTTAAAAATACTATATTAATATATTCTCAGATATAAAATGATGAAAATGTTTTTAAATGATGTTTTAAAGAAAATAATAAACGGTGTATTTTACAGTTTAGGTGCTGTGACAGTAAATGTCAGTAAAAATATGTAGACTTCAAAACTGTGACCAGAGCTTTTTCTCTTTTAGACAATACAGCTCATTTAAAGCCCCATAGGGAACTTTCATTGTGTTGACTCTGGCGGTCCCCTGTGGACAACAGCAGTAGTGTTTCCTCATTTCATTGATATCGAGGGGAATCTGACCCGGTGGCAGATAGTAAGAATAACTATATAGAAATATATCTTTGACTGTATTATGTTGTCATCTAAGCAAACAATTTCATTTTGTTTTCTTCTGAGAATTGGATGAAATGAAAAAGATATCGGCCTACTGTGTGTATTCTTTTAAAATCAAGAAGGCCTTGTGACCCCCCTGTGAAGCTTTGGTGACCCCAAAGTTGGGAAGCACTGTTTTAAAAACAAATAGTAAGAATTTAGTTGAGTTCAGTTTTGTGTTTCAGGCAAACTGTGCTCCTTTTTAAAACATTGGGGTTGCAGTTCCTCCTTCTACCTCTAGATGGAAGCATTTCCATAGAAAACAATGTTAAACACAAAGAATCAGCATCTCTCTGAAGGTATGATCTGGAGGATTAATCTGATCCCTTAAAGTAACATTAAAGGTTTAGTCGCATAAACTCTTCACTTTTATCCCCTGAACCTGACGACCAAACCTCACCTGTATCCTGACACGCAGACAGGAAGTAATCCGAGGAGGAACACAGGTAATGTTACACTGCAGGTTTCTACTTTAAGTCTGTGTGCATATGAAGAGTGTTGCTCTAGAAAAGGAGAAACTCATCATTTCAAGGGCCAACCCGCCCGCTGGCTGTACGCCCACACACGTTTTGTTGAACATAACCATTTTTTACCTTACCTTTGTTGGCGTCACCAGCATAGCTCCGCCCCAGATTTAACCTGAACCAAGGCTGTCTCTGTAACCTTTCAAAATTCTATTTCCCCCAATCTTTGTAGTTTTCTCTGACTGTCCAGCTGCAAAAGTCCAGATTGGAGGAAAGAGGAGCTAATTTGAGTCACCTCAACACTTTTACCATGTTAATCTTTATTGTACCGTGTTTCTGACTGTCTGCAGGTCCATTAATTCCTGATAAAGGACACCTGTCTGTTCACCATTCTAAAATAATGCACTGAAATAAATCCCCCCCAAGACTTAGTCAAACTTTGTAAGTGATCATCTTACATCCCATTCGCTATTCAACTCACTACTTCAAGCCGACAGGAAGTTACATGTGGCCGATCGTTAGCTGGTCTTTACTGTCAAATTATTAGTTTGTCAAACGTACGCAGTGTTAATGATAGTGTTAATGATAGCTCTCTGGCTCATAGCATAATGTTAGCTTTCTGGTGCGTAGCTGAGCTGAAGGACTAAAAGAACTATATAAACTAGAAATAACCGTTGCTAAGTATTTAAGGTTTGTCTATTTTAAAACGTATGTGATGGTAACGATCGAGAAAACAAATTAGGATAAATGCTTTAATAATGCTGTAGTTTAAACTGCATTTAAATAGTTTTTGTCTGTCTTAAGCACAAACAGTTACGTCCTAGTTATTTGCTGGATTAATATAAATGTTTAGAAATGCAGGAAACGGCATTAATATACTTCCTCACTTCTGATACAAACCTGAGCAGATCTCATCTGCCACAATAACACCAGGGTTGGTGAACAGGATATTTAGCTCTGAAATAACAATGAAAAGTACCGTCACTGTATTTAACACTTTGTGCTGTCCAGGTTTGGATCCTTTAAGCCTTCAGTGTACTTTAAAAGACCTGAAATGTCTGCCTTTAACAAGTTTTCAGTTAGGAGTTCCAGTTTTTTTATTAGTTATACAGTGTCTAGGTCATTTTTGATTTATTGTACTATATATGATAAATAAAAAAAACAAGCCATCCGATGTCTTAAACTGTACTGGACTTAGACTTAAACTCAGGTTTAAAACAGTAAGAAACGCATTATTCTAATATGTAGTGAACATCTGTCAGTGAGATTTGATGAGCAGCAACATCTTATCACTGTAAGATATCAGGAAGATTTTAAGATCCTGATCACAAAAATAAATGTTGCAGGTTCACAAAGCTGCTACTGGTTAATTATTAATTATTGTTTTCTATTGATACTGTGAATAACTCAGATTCAGTTGGAACAGATAATATTTATCTTTCCACCAGATGCAGGAACACACTCTGGTGGTGTGCGTTTGTGAATCTCAGGTGTGTCTTCTTCATTTTGTGGTGCTGCCATTTAGAACAGAATTAAAAGCAATAATTTAAGCTAGATGCCATTATAAACCACGTCAGACCTCAGTGTAAGTGTCTCAATGAGTCTGTGACGATGTAATGTATACCTGCTGTGTGAAAAGAGCTCCAACAAAGGCCTGTAGCACATACGAACACATAAGGCCTGAACATGATGCTGCGTCCCTTTAAGACTCTGCTGTACTATAACATCTGTTAAATAAAGTTATGTGTTCATCATTCAGTGATCAGCGTTGTGTTTTCTGTGAAATCGTTATAATTAATAATGAGTTAATAGAGTTAGAGTTGTCATTGCAGAAATAAATATGGGCTGTAACGATTGTTCCAGATATTAGACAACCCCCAGGAAGTACCAAATCACATGAAAAATGAATGGTCTTTTTTTTTTTTTTTCTTTGGCCAGTAACCATGGTATAAGCAGGATGATGCCCTTCAAGGTGTTATTTTTAGTAAAGTTCACTTGTGAAAAAGGAAACCGAGGCGTCGTGAGACAGAATCAGTTTATTTATAAAGTGTGTTACATCTCTACTGTACTGAGGGGCCTTTATGTGGGTTGAACATACCAGACTGGTTCAACTGTTGAGGGCTGAGGTGGTTCAGACACTTGGGGTTGCTTGTGGATGTTGACCTTTGTCCCATTCTTCGCGCACTTTGTTGATCCACTCATTATAGTTGGACACCTTGGTGTAGATGCCCAGCTTGTCCTCCCTGCCGCAACCCTCACCCCAAGACACCAGGCCGATCAGGAACCAGGTGTCTCGATAGAGAGTGACCATCGGTCCGCCGCTGTCCCCCTCACAGGCATCCTTCCTCTGTCCGAGGATCCCGGCACAGAGGACGTTGTTGGAGATGTTGTGGGACATCTGGCGGATGCAAACGTCGCGGTCAGCCAGCGGGACTTTGATGACATTGAGTGCTGAGCTGAAATGGGTGCTGTCCAGGTCGTCTTTACCCCAGCCGCTCACCACAGTGAGGGTGCCGTTAAGGTGGAGCACCCGCTCGGCCATCTCGTGTCCTGGCAGACAAACGGGAACGATGTATTGGCTTAAGCGGGCGGGGTTTTCCAGAAGCAGCAGGGCGATGTCGTTGTCCACAGTCCTGCTGTCGTAGTCGGGGTGTTTATAGACTTTTGTGACCCTGAGGGTCATCTCAGTGCCTTCATCTTTGTGGCGCTCGTAATCACCTGAAGAGACCGATCACAAGGTTCCCCCAGGATATTGGTTAGCAGAGATGGTAAGTACCTACCTTATTGTTTCCTGTCAGCAGTTTATTTCCCCCGACTGCAACATGAATGAACAATGTGATCTATCAACGAGTGCTGAGCTGAATCAGACCTCTGATGTTTCCCCTAAACTTCGTATATATCTTTCTCTCTTTTATGATTCTGCCTGCCTCTGAGTGTTTCTGAGGGCCGATGTATCGCAGAAATCTCTGGCCTCACTGATGACTGTACAAAAGCAACACTGTCACTGTATTCAGTGATTTTGGTGAAACTGGATCAGATTTTATGGAGAAAATATTTTTGTCTTCCGGCTGCTCAGCTTCAACTCTCTGTGATTTACAGAGTTTCCTGATGGACAGAAAGTTTTAACTACTCTCTAAAGTAGCTACCCGCTAATCAACTGCTGTAATCTGCCGTTAGCGGGCAACTCAACCGGGCTCGAACACTAAATCTAACACTAAATCCTAAATAATGAGGCCCACTGACCCACTGTTTAAAAGATCTGCTGCAGTCTTTGATTATAATGAGAATTGTTTGGTTTAGTATTTGTCATCTGCAGAGTGAAAACTCACCCAGCCGTACTCTGAATCTCAGGCTGTTGTCAAGGCAGTGAGCGGCGGTCAGGACCCATCTCTCATCGATGAGGACGCCTCCGCAGTGAAAGCGCCCTCTGGCGTTCAATAACAGTACCTGCTCACAAAATTGACACTTTTAAAGCCCCTGTGCACTTAACTCCAGATCATTCTCTCTACCATTAAATACTGCATTCATGAATAAATGAGCAAAAGTTGTGCTGTGGTCCTAATGGAACTTTAAATAAGTGAGAGGAGCTCAAACAAAAAATCAACTGACAGAAATCTGCAGCTATCCTTTGATTTGAAATAATGGGAGAAAACATCATTACATTAGTAACATTAGTCATCGGATGGTGATGGGATACAAAACTATTGTTTTCCAGATTCATGAGTGTTAATGATCTGAGGTGTTGAAGGTAAGTCTTGTCAGCAGTTCAGAGAAGCAGCAACAGTAAAAGTCACTTACCTGCCAGGGACTCTCCCCCTTTTTTCCCACCTCCCCTCCCACCATCCATGGCAGCAGGCCGTCCAATGGTTTGGTGTAAGACGACCTGCCGATCAGCAGCTGACCACAGGACGAGGGACCTGCCAGGGAAATGGAGACAGACAGGTGTTTTTTTTGGTTCTGGTCAAGCTACTAAACTCAGGTTCACTTGAAGCTGGATGATGATTTAAACATTTAGTAAATCATTCAGGTAGAGGTGAAGATTTGATTAAAAAAGAACAGAAATCCCTCCATCCAGCAGTTTACCTGACCTAAATGTTGTCATGTATTTTCTCACCTTTCGGCTCACATTTCCTGGAGTTGTCGTGCAGTTTGTATCCGCTCACACAGCTGCAGGTCCTCGTCAGGCCGTCCGTGCTCTCCGAACACTCGTGGTCACAACCGCCGTTGTCCACAGAGCAGTTGGTGGCTGTCTGAGCTGAGCGACAACAGATGACATGGATATTTACTTTTACATTTCTACTTTCATATATCAGTCCATCGACAGAAAATGTATTGGCACTATTTTGATAATGTCTTTCATTTTTCAAACATTACGAGAGAGCACCACCATCAGGGAAGTATTGGTTTACTTTTTAAAAGTTACTTAATGTCAAAGTGCTTTTGATGCTTGAATGGAAAGCACCGGAGATCTCTGTTTCAAGAGCTTTTCTTTAAATACAAAAGTTGAGTGATTTATGATTTATACACCACAATAGTTTGTTTTTAGGTAACATTTTTTTTTTATCCAGACTCACGCTGATCGCAGTATTTGCCCTCGTAACCACGGTCACAGCGGCAGGCGTAGGCTTGGTACAGATCCACACAGGCACCATGAACACACATGTTGGAGTTACACTGGTTCCCATCTGAAACACAGTCAGCTCAACATGAATACATTTCCCTTTGCGTTACTTTTAAATTTCTGCTTCAATCCACTTATTAATGCACACATAGCTGTATTATTGTAGTGTTGCTAGGGGACAAGACAAATTGATGTAGATCTAGTTTTTAAGAATAGGATTTGATACACGACCAACACGGATGTATGGAAGTACAGGTAAACAGCGCTTTGCTGCAGCCGTTTGTTAATAAATAATTATACTTGATGAAGTTTCTTCAGTTTATTTTAGAGACATCACAATCACTACAATGAAAAGTAGTACTGCAAAAGTACACTATTATTTGTATCCAACAAAAATAGCTGTCCTCAGAATGACTGAAACTTTAACTGGACCTGGGCGGGAACATCTTAATCAGAAGTTACTGTATTCATCAGAAAAGTATTTACAGAATTGAGCTTCAGCGCGATGTTTTTGATCACAAGAGTAAGAAAACTATTCACAAGTCAAAAAAAAACATTGTTTTTTTTTTGCTCTGCTTTAAAATGTACAAAAAACAGTTGAGTAGAAGCTGACTTTATAATGTGCATCAAACAGGGACAGGTTTTCATACCGGTGTACACCGTCCAGAACTCCAGCTGTAAACACAAAATGGGAAGGACAAGGATTAATTCATAATTTCAACGCAAAGAATCAGAGTTCAGACTGAATCACTAACAAATACTACTCAACCAAAGGTGTTTAATGTGAATTTTGGTCTTCTGGTCTGGGTGAATCTGCGATTCTGACTAGCTGCAGGGTGTACATTAATTCCTGATATAGGACACCTACTAAGTAGTTTCTGTTCACTGTTCTAAATTAATCCAATGAAATAAACAGAAAGGAAAGACAATCTGAATTTCTCTTGAATATATCTCACAGCACTAGGGTCAGTTTAAAACCTGTGCGATCATTTGGAAAACAGTCAACATTAATGTGAAGTATAGGAATAGTTTGTGAATGAGAGAAACTTTTTGCTCAAGCAACTCACGAGCGACATGCAAAATGTCTGGTTGAAACATAAACAAAAAAACATCTTACAGTAGCTTCCCTGGTTTGGAAAATCTCTCTCGCTTCTTCAAAGTCACATTTTTCCTCCACACATTCGCGTTCCATTGAAGCAGGTTTCATCTCCTCCAGGAAGGAGTTCGCCCGGCGAGAGCGAAGCAGCATGTGAGCCTTCGGGGGGTCAGAGAACACTAAACAAATAGAAGAAAAGACAACACTTGACCATAACACTTTAAAGTCTTTCTAATGCAGATATCTTTGAGGTTTTAACAGCCCTGTCTATTGGTGTCTAATGTCTTTGGGGAGTCAAGTCCTGCAGGTCCCAAACAAATATCACTGGGTACTTAAGTGACCAGTCTCAATACCGTTCAAAACATTGTAATATCTAGTAAACCTAAAAGTGCAGACCTCTGCCCTGTATCTACAGCACTGACTTATGCCCTGTTTCTACAGCACTGAACTCTGTCCTGTATTCATACACACCTTTCACTTAGGTATTACTGTCATGAAATCAATCAATCTTTGTTAACTGTCTCTGAAAGACAATTGTTGTCAAATTATTGGACTTCACTAATATTAAATAATCGTAATATCAATAAAATCAACTCGACTTCAGACTTGAAAAAAATCACACATCATTCTGCTCATGTTGATTGAATTTTCAAAGGTTTTGGTGATGTTGATGGTAATCAAACATTTGGCAAAACAGAAAATGCTGTGCCAACAGTACTAAATTAGAGTAAGACCATAAATATCACTGCAGACTCATCATTTGACCAATCTCAATGCAGTTCCGAACATGAGACAGCTAGTATAGTGGCCACATGGTGTGTATGTGTATATGCAAATCACACTGAATCGATTCAAAATAATTGTTCTGCTCACTCACCCTATTGGTTAAATGAGAGAAATAAAGTATAGTACAGTATAAGAGCAACACAGTCAGAAGGAGAAGGGAGGATGGTTCCATTTAAGTCCTGTGTGAAACCAACAAAACCAAAACCAATTTTTGCACCAAAATGTGCAAAAAAATCAAAAGGCCCTATCTAGTGTCTGTGTTTGTTCTGAAACATACCTATGATTTTTATATTTCTGACAGTTCATCCTCCTACACAATGGACCTTTAAATTAAACTTCTGGTCTTTATCATTCAGCAGTGATCTTCACAACACAGGTACTGCTGTTCGTTAAATAAAGCTGCATCTTCCATTCTTACTTTCAACTGAGCTTTGCAGCTTTCCTACAAAAAATGTCACTTCAAACAGATGTGTCTGTTCAGTGACCCATGCACACCCACCTGACAGACTGAGCACTGACGCCGACCACAGAGTGACGATGACGGACACACAGAGGACGAGGTGGGACATGACCTCAGTCAAACCTGCAGTCAATGAGACATGAGCAGATATGAGCCAATCATATCATCTCCCCAGTCTTTATATTTACCCACTGTTTCCAGTTAAACAGAAACATGGAGACAAACATTAATATTCATAATTCACATCTAACTGATAGTTAATGTGACTTACCGATGAAAGCAGGATAAAAAAGTCTGGAAAAGCTAGAGGCGAGACAGACAAAAATCACAACCACATCATATGCAAATTCTGTTTCAAATAATCTCTCTTCAGCTTTGATGGAACATTTCTACAGCATTGATCATTTTCAGCTGAAAACACAAAGGCCTCCAAACACACACAACCAGAGATGGTCCTTGTTTGAACCTCTACGACCTTTGTCCCCCACAAACCTGAACAATAGGGGCTGTGTAGCCCCGAGGACAATCAAGACAACATCTCAAAAATGCTACAAAAACCTTAATGCAGAAGAACGAGTGGATTTCTTACATGTGAAGAATCGAAGCTGTAGACAGACGATGGTTTGCTCCGTTTCTGATTGTTAATGACTAACTGACAGTGTTTACTGAGAGTCCACAGTCTGCTGCTGAACACTGTCTGCCAACACTATCAACGCACACACACAATCCTCCCCTTTAACCTCCACCCACTCACCTCAGATCAGAGCCCCGTTTTAAAAAAACTTTCTGACACAAAGCGTCCATCCTTTAAGTCTGCAGTGACTATGTCGTCCATTTCTGCGTCTCATTGATGAACTGTCTTCACCAAACCAACTTTCACAAACTAACTGAAACTAGAAATAGTTTGAGTATCCTCAACAAGGAGAACTCCATAAGAACAAATCATTGTTTTCATTGACTCATTGATATTCCAAAGCATTAAATACTCTTCTCTTAATCCACTTATTTCTTTCTTTCTTTTTCAATTTTTTTGCCTTCATCTACAAGTTTTAAGTGTCTAAGCTGCAGAGGATGACAATAATCACATTTGAAGTTGTAAATAAGGCTACAAATAAACAAGTCTTTTAATCACCAAAACACAATATATATAATATCCAAAGCTAGTAAGTGTACATACGTAGTATGGGACTTTAACTATACTGTAACTGTAAATAAGGCAAAACTTGTGAAATGGGAATATCAGAAATGAGTCAGAGAAAGACCTCATAAAAAATTGTATCCATAAGAACCTGTCCTTTAGATGCCTGAAATACACGTTAAGACTTCCAAAATGACGTTGTATAAAATGCTTTGCACCCTGTAAGGATGGAGGTTAAGGTTGGATTTAAAAGACACTGAAACTGTCTGAAATGATGCACTGAGCTCCTCTCT